AAATAACAAATGACTGTTCTGCTTCATCGAGAAGACTTAAACATATTTTTCATACTAATTTGTTAGTCTTAATCTGACCTGTCAATTGTTATTATTATTCGTTTATTTGCGTTAGCCGATAACGATAAACAGAAATTTTATTGATATGCATTTCCTTGAAATGATAATATTTGAAGATTATACAAAAGAAACGTGATAAATCTATATTTGCTGACAATCAATTATTTCAGTTATTTTCCATAAAACACATTTATTCATTATCTTTTCATCAAATAAGAAATTCATTATCTTCTTTCAAATCATGAATGGTAGATAATAAATGGTAAAGAATAAATTTAAAACTTGATCAATTACAAAGAGTAATAGTTATAAGGATTACAAAACATTCGACGAGAATGATGATTCGACCTCCGAGGGTTAAAGAAATGAAATTTCTTATTTCAATCGACATTATCAACTGCACGCTTGGTACTCTTGTCTACCTTACTGGCGAGAAAAGAGGCCATAAAGAAGCCATAAAGCACAATTGCCTGATGTCAGGGGAGAGGAATTCCGATTCGTCAAAAGCTAAGAAACGTCGTTTCCTTCCGAATAATCTAACACCCCTGCCGACTGGTGTTCCATGCGCCACACGGTGGGATATTTGCATCGAAAAGCTGGCCAAAAGTCGGGCTTAAAAATTGGTTCGCAATATTCCTGAGCTTAAAAAAAAAAAAGTTCAATATATCTTCTTATTGAAGAACTCAGGGCAACTACGACTTTAAATACAATCTTTCAAAAATTTCAGCGAATTGATCACGCGAAAAAATCTGGAAACTTTAAAAATCTGGCAATTTTATAATCTAAATATCTCGTTTGCAAAGCCTACGTTTACGATATCAAAAAGAAAACCAGCATTAGAATTCCAAATGCACTCTTCCTTACGATTTATGGGATCCAAACCAAAAAAGATTAATAAATTACCCATCGATATTTTTTGCTTGTCACTTTGGTTGTCATCACATTGTTACACGTTTTCGGGGAATACTTTGTAGTGTATGCGATATCGATTTAGAAGACGTAGAACGGAAAGCTTTAGAGATACCTCGTTGTACATATGTATACCAAGATCACAAAAAAAAACACGATAAGTATATTTTGATGATGATTTTCTGACTTTAATGCCACTGTCATCAAGAAGGTTGACACGACACAATTGAAAATGAGAGCAACTGATAAATTGACAAAGAACCAAAGACATGACCATTAAGATAAAATATTTTAATATCTTCAATGTTGTGATGTTAATTTAACGATCGATAGATTGAAAACTTTGAAGAAAATGAAAGGACATGAGTTTGGCTCAAAAATATTTTGTTAGTAGATGACAACATATTGAATCTTAAAACTGCTGAAATAAAATGTACGACTTATCGTGTTCTTCTCCCATAACCTTCACACATGCACATACGTAAATACAGTTGCTCACGAAAATATTCAACTTTTACACTTGTAAAAAGTTGCTTACTCTTTTATAACATACATTATAAATAATTACAAATTTATACATTATAAATAATTATAAATTTTTTTTTAATTTTATATATATTTTTTAAATCTTATATATGTTGTAAATAATTATAAATATATTACGTATGTTACGGAGAGACATCTTGAAAATTTTATTAATATATATATGTCTACAGACTACGTCTATATTATTATACAAATATATATAGTATGTACGTTTTTAAATCGACTTTGAATCATGATAGTCGTGTGTCATTCAGGTGCTCACGATATTTCAAAATGTTCCATTTATAACACGAAAAAGTTCTTTGTAGTAAATTAGCAAATATTTCCGTGAGACAGTGTATAATCACGATCACAGAATTTTCATGTGTTGCTCTCGTGACCGTTTCTTTCCTTTCGCGTTCTCGTCCTTTTCACCAGTCGCATGAGAGAGAGAAAGAGAGGGGAGAGAGAGAGTAACCCAACGTCAAGTCAGGTCTATCGACCGGAGGAGAATCAGAGGGCGGAAGAGGGTCAGAGACGCGAAATCACACTAGAACGAAAATTCCGTCCAATTACCGTTCCTGTAATTCGCGTACGATGTCGACACACACGATGTCATACGTTTGCACACCGAGAGTATCTGGTTACACGAGACGCGTCACTTTTTGTTCGAGCGGTCAACGATATCTAATTCATTTAGGGCGCATTTAAAGCAATTATTACTTTTGCACTGGTACGCAGAGGTCGCTAAACATCGTATTACATCCTCGTGGTAATAATGCCCTCGATCGGAGGTAACACGTTCTTTAATCTGTTTCCATCTTACGGTACGTATTGTTGCTGTTCGATCGGGAAAACTGGGATCGGTTTTCACTTGGAAGTCAATGGATCGTTGAAGGTGAACGTGACGGTTCGTCTCTTGCACCAGTATCCACAAAGTAATGGCTGAAATTGATCTATCGTGAAGCCTCGTTTTTCGTACGAATTGCTCGACTCACTTTTCTCTCACCCCGCGTTCCCGACATCTTTTGTAACCGAGAAAAAAATTTACGACCACGCGTAAATATTATTTCGATGAGATCGAAAGAACGCAGAATTTAAATTAAGTCTACGACTTATTTCGTTGGTAGTCAAATTTCTTTGGTGAACTGATGCACGATAACGTCGCCGATGCAGTACTACATCAAAGGCATGTTTCTCGATGCAACGTTCGGACGGAGGAGAGTTCATGTCCCTCTGCGTTGCGAGACGTGTCGAAACGGACAGTTACCCGAAATACACGCGCACGTACCAACGAACGAGAGCGATGAATATAACCGAACCGAATAAACAAAAGAATATCATAAACGAATAGAATAGAAAAATAATAAAACCGCTAAAAATAATGAACGATTGAGAATATGTATGTAGCACGTATTGAGTACGTATTAAAAACATATATATAAAGAAAATATATGTAAACTATGATGAATAAGGTTAATACACGGAGAAAAAAAAATTAATAGGCAAGGTGGAGAAGCTACGTTCTGCCCCTGTTATCTTTCTTCTCTCTCGTTCAATCATAGCTCGTTCTCTCTTTCTTTCTCTCCCTCTCTCTCTCTCTCTCTCTCTCTCCCTCTCTCACAGCTCCCGCTTTACTCTTCGTGAAAATCGATTCGCTACCGGCCCGGACAGCAGACACGTCGAACGTGTACTGAAAAAAATGTTTCCCACAACGAAACGTTACCTTATTGCCGCTTGTATCAAACCAGTGACCCTCGTCGATCTCCACGATACGAATCACAAAAACTCTTCGACCGGCATAACCAGTTTTCGCTCTGCTATCGTTATGTTACGGCTACGAACTTCGCTGGAACACTGAAAGCGCGACCGTTCTGTACTACATGAAGGCAAAATTGAACAATATCGCGATTTAAACAACCGCCAGTACGAAGAAATGAAAGAGAGTCACGACCAAACACACCCTCTATACACACCCGTCGGCCGACGACGCCAGACTGCGCGAGAGCGCCACCTTTCTTGCCTGTTCTCCTCCATCCCCACCTTTGGTATCGCTCCGTGCTCGCTGTTTCGCTCTTTCCTCGAATTATTATCGCTTGCTTTATTCTTTTCTTCTTCTCGCCACCCCTTGTTCTATTATAATTTCTTCGTATTTTGATATTTATAAATTTGTTGTTACTTGTTTATACCACATTTTCGTATATTACGTTTTTCGAAGAAGTCTTTAATTTTTGTTCTATTACTTTCCAACATATATCTTATATATACGTATAGTTAAAGTAAGCGAAATTAGCTTACAATTTAAAATTGATTGTAGAATCAGCTTCTGAGTCTTTTTACACAGTTTAATGAATATTATTGTAAAAGTGAAATTTTACAAATTGGCAACATTAATAAATTAATAAATTACACGCGCAATTTAAAATTTATAAATCTATAACTGTTAGTTGATCTTTCTGTTCGATGTAAAATTATAAAGGAGAATCAATAACTTGCCGATTCAATAATATTGCTATTTGGTAAATTATTTTACACTGATGTGTTATATGTATAAAATAAACAAATATGTCAGATATGTGTATCTCGCTTCTACTTTTTCTCCAATGAAAAAAAGAGATACTTGGGTCTTCCTATGAACCTCTCTCCAATGGCTATCTTGTTAAGTGATCAGTTAACGAAATAACGTGACAACTGTATTTTGTCATTACTTTTTTCCCCGTTACGTTTTTCGATATTGTATTGTATATTTTTTTGTTTCAACGCATTTGCCTTGTTCTTTCAATTTCTAATAATGTTTTCGTGGCACGCGATCTATTTCTCTCTATTTTTATCGTCTCCATTCGCCTTTCTCTCGCTTCGCACCCTGTTTCTAGTCCACGAACCCTGTCTCAATTCACGCATGCGCGAAACATGGAACTATGGTTGCAAATAGGCCCGCGTCTGCGTTCTTCTAATGTTGTCTGTCTTTCCGTTTCTTTCTTTATTCTTTCTCCCCATTCGTTTGAAACTGTTCGTTAAAGTTAGCGTGATCCAAAAGAAATTATCCGTTCGTACCACCCTTCTATAGCGAAAACACAATATGTCCGTGTGCCGACGTCAGCCGGCAAATGACAACATACATCCCCATCCTCGTATCATTATTGTCGAGGGAAACATAACCGCATGGGGATAAATTGTGTACCTCCGTATAAAATAATGTTTGTCCCATATCCAAAAATATAAAAAATTGATATTCATATAAATAAGAAAATTGATACATATAAATGAAGAATTAACCTTACTTTGATATGAAATTATTATCTTACACAATCCTTGATGCTGTAGTATTTTCTTGTTATGCAATGCAGGATTTAAAAAGTTAAAATAAATTGCTGAAACCATAAAAACCGAGTTTAGCATAACTATAAATAAAAATTACATTTATTACTATAAATAAAAATTACTTTAAGTGGAATTACTACCTTGTACAATCCTTAATATCATAATATATTTTTATTAAGGGAGAGTAACCTAGAATTTAATAATAAATTTAGAATGAATTTTTCTATATATAATTATTATAAATCCTCAAAACTAGATGATGTTCATTAAAGGTTAATTAATGATACTAAAGATCACAATCGAAAAGAATATCGATCTACCGATAGAAATCATTAATGTGAGAGAAAATGCATAACACACGTTCTCACGGTTTTCATGCCATATGTTACTTCTACATATAATAGTTATCAACACGCAGTTACGTTTATGTAAATTCAAACTTACAATTAGATTCGTAAATTACGAATATATAATGTTACTTAATAACGGCCAATATTACAATCGCACTGTATGAGAAGAACACTTGTTTCAAAAGACAAATTATGATCGATATTTGTCAGTATTCATACGTATATATGTTCAAGTGTTTTTGCATTGTTGAATTGTAAATACATCGAACGAATCTTTAGAACGAATTCCACTGCAGCTATAATGAATATTTACTTCCAAAGCGTAATCTACTATATTACTAATATATTGTAGTCCTTATAGTCTTCTCCCATTGAAAATTTTGCATTTCAATAGTTAAACACCTAGCTCTTGTTATTTATCATATTATATTTATCATATTCCTGAAATAAAAATTATAGATATGAAATAAATAATAATAATATAAATATAGATATATTCAATATTTTATGAAATAAAATACGTTTAATAATATATATGTATCTTTTAATTTTTAAATAAGAAATTTCCACTTCATGAAAATAATTTTCTACCAGAGAAAGATAGAATGACAATCGGAAAATGGATTGGAAATGGTGATTGGAAAGCTGGAAATCACAAAATGGTCATAACAACGTGCCACGAATGAATAGATAAAACGAAATCGAAAGAAAGGATCGTTCAAAGGACGACTGACACTTAGGTGTGGCCTCGTCGAAATAGATTTACTAAGTTCTGATTAGAAAAACGGCACTCCCAGAAACATTAAAAGTCAAATCGATATCAACGACCTCATTGATTTCAAAATTAAATATCTTTAGATATTTTGATATACTTTGAATTTATTGTATACTTAAAACTTTCTTATCTATTACATATTTCCAACTTATTTTACTTTTTAATTTATTTTACATTTCAGTAACTTTGACATTTTCGTGAAATAAATGAATACTATATATTTGAATACTATTTAGTTATTCTTTAAAACAATAATCGAAAAATAAAGGTAGAATAATCGAATGTCAATTATCAAACCACTAATGAGTAGTAGAAAAATAATTTCCTGTAGATTATCATATGTTATCGCTTGCCACAATTAAATGGCAATTTGCTAATTGGTTGCTAGTAATTAAATTAACATTCATACTCATCGATATTTTAACTACTTGACAAGGAAATCCAGATCAATCGATGGAATATTAAAAATGACCATGAATAATATTGTATTAATTTTAATAATTAAACTTTACTAACCAGAAAGTTTACTTATATAATCATTTTTTGCAATATCCTTATTAAGAAAGGAAATAATACTTTCATTACAACCCATACATTACAACCCAGCTCTTGATTTTGAATTTTCTTTCGCTAAAATTTTTCGTAAACATTACATAACCTGTAATCGTAACTCGATTATTTTTGAAATCATTAATGTAACTAAAGTCATAAAATATTTATGTAATGTAAATGAAATAATATTTCGAAAAAATACTTTCGCTCTTTAATTCGTAATAATATCAGGACATACGAAAACTACTTCATTTCGTCTGTAATATATCGATTCCTCTATCTTTCTTTACTGAATAAAATGTTTCACGTTCCTAAACCCACCAAGGAACTTAAAATTAATTTCATAATAGAGAAAGAAAAATTAAATATTACATCTTTTCATATTAATTTTTAGTAAAAGTGTGTCAGTTACTCTTTGTTTTATTTAAAAAATTATTTTTAGATTCTATCTGAAATAGTTTCTTATTCAAAAAATTTAAAAGTTTTTATTATATTAAAGTTAAATCCTATATCTGTAATTGTCTTTAACATTTAAGTGTTACAAGAACATTAATTATAAAATATTTTATATAAATAATTCAAAAATAAACAAGTAGCAAAATTTATACTCTACTTGACATATTTCTATTTCATTGGTAAACAAAAATCGTAAAACCTTCGATAGCTCAGTTGGTAGAGCGGTGGACTGTAGTTGGCTTATTTAAAATCGTGGACATCCATAGGTCGCTGGTTCAAATCCGGCTCGAAGGAAATTTCTTTTTTTATTTTTTTCTAGTACAAATACATATAAGTTTGTAGTACAAAATTAACAGAAATATGCATTTTTATAAATAAAATAAAATAATTCTCACGATGGTTTTAGAAATATGTATTTCTTTCTACACAAATATACAGAGTGTTTCGTAACTTGTGGAACCTACTTCGGGAGCTGATTGTACGCCTAAAAATAATGAAAAAAAGTCATATAAATATATGTCCTATCTGTCTTCATTTATATGAGATATAATGAATTTTATAAACAGAGCAAACTCTCTGTCCGGCCTCTCTTTCCATAGACCGCAATAGTAAGCAAGAATTCGCACTGCTTACAAATAATACTTACTTGATATAATTGGGATGAAGAAAAGCCACATGTTATTGTGCATTCAAGACATCAACACCAGTTTAGTTTAAACGTATGGGCAGGAGTAATTGATAAATTTTTAATTGGACCTTTTTTTCTTGATGGAAAACTAACAGGCACAAAATACGTTGATTTTTTGAGCACGCGTTTACACGAAATATTAGAAGAAGTTCCAGTCGATATTAGACTTCGTATGCGGTTTATGCATGATGGAGCATCGCCGCATTTTAACCGAGTGGCTAATTTTTAAATCGACACTTTGCAAATAAATGAATTGGTCGTGGAGGTCCTATTGCATGGCCTGCTCGTTCTCCGGATTTGAATCCATTAGATTTTCATTTGTGGGGACATTTAAAATCTATTGTATACGCAACATCGATTGAAAATGCTGAAATACTACGAAACAGANATATATTTATATGACTTTTTTTCATTATTTTTAGGCGTACAATCAGCTCCCGAAGTGGGTCCCACAAGTTACGAAACACCCTGTATATAAACGCATTTAAGCGGGTCTGGCGCTTACCGTCAGTCCACATACTATGTCTTAAAATGGATTTGGTTCTAAGTGTTAAAGTTAGTATGTGTATATATAAAGAAATCAAATGTTAGATATTGTGTATAATTATAAAAAGTACTGAACGAAAAGAAAAAAATTTTACTTCTCTCGACCGTGACAGGACTCGAACCTGCAATCTTCGGATCCGAAGTCCGACGCCTTATCCATTAGGCCACACGGTCTGTTATATGAAAGTAACCAAACATTTTATATCACTATACCTTATATATAATAGAATTTATAATTACAAAACTTAATAACATATCTTCTATTTCGTACACGTAATATAAATAAAATTGAAAACTTATATCATACTTTCTTCGTTTCAATATGTGCCAATAACAATTTTCTGATAATAATTGTAAAGTATCATAATTGTAAAAATTATATTATGAACATCTATAAAATAAATATTTTTATCCTACAATAACATCCTATAAGCAAGTCAAACCACTGACTAAGGAACTGACATAATTACGCGCGTTTCCGAACGTTCGACTGCTTTCGGACGATTTCGACTGTTAACACGAATCATTGCACGTCTGCGCAAAAGTCTGTATTGCTAGATACCTTGTAAATTTGAAAAGTTAAACAGATGAAGTATTAAAAGCGAACGTATTCATATAAAATACAAATCATCGCCTTTGTAATTCAATTATTCTTACATGTAAAAATATGCAGATTAATAATACTATTTTATTGTAATACCTTTGAAATTTTAACTGTTGCGTCATTCATTCGCCATATCTATTTTCAAATCTTCAGTACAAATTGAACTTTATAGGTTATCTATAGGTTATTAAACTAATATCAATTCTACTAGTTAGAATTTTATTTATTTTTTTATGTTAATCTGAAAGCAATGTTAAAACTTAACATTCTTATCAATAATTGAAATACTACAAATTACTATTGGAATGCTCATGTACCAATATCCTATGCAGTCACTTCTTTGTATTACATAGTATAAATCTGTCCTTGTTTGACACTATTGCGGTCCTTGTCTACGATGGAACTGCCATCTAGCCATCTTTCACCTACAACTAGAACTAAAAGGTTAAAAATGAAAAATCCAATAGATGGCAGCAAAATGCTTTTCCTGTTAGATAGTTTTGCTGGTCTTCAATAGATTGCAGTATCTGTCTTGTTCGTGAACAAAGAGCGCTATAATATGTGACAAGAACAGATTTACATTGTATGACAGACAAGGAGCTCACTAATGTGCGATAAAGACAGCAATTGATTTCAATTCTATTATCTTATCGTTAATTTCAGTGTTAAAGTTTTATTGACGAAAAAAATTAATTAAGGAACAAACTTTTGCAATTGTATCTCCATCCCCTTCTTCATCTCTTTATTATCTATGTCTAATCAAATAATGTTGTTTGTATAACATTGATGAAACACAGTTTTGTGTTGCATATATTGTATTCATGATCTACTAAATCGTATTAATAATATGAAATAAATTATCATTAAATTTAATAGCAAATTTGACAAAATAGTAATACTTTATTGATAATATTACACATTTTATAGAAATGGTGTAAATACTAGAATCAGAATAAAAATGACAACTTTTCAAACTCAACTTTTATATGCTTTAGGAAGTAAAATAAAAGTTCTGTCAGAGTTAAAGAAAGTGTTTGTTCGTCCTTTGATACAAAGTAAGTGTTAATATTATGTACTATGTATAAGTATTTTAATTATTTAGGTTTTTTAAAAAAATAATTGCAATTTTACTTACAGTTGCTGTAAAAACAATAAATCAAGAATACATAGAAGAAGGCATATTAGATAGAATAAGTCAAAAATACAATATACCAGATGAAACTGTGGATGAATATTATTCAGTCATTTTTACAATATTAAAGATACATTTAGGCACATTATCACAAAATATAAAACCTGCAGAATTTAAACAAACATTAGAGGAATTAAAGTATGTGTTTTATCAGTGTTATGCATTATTTCATCATTTTTCAATTTTGTAGCAAATGTAATAATATTTTTACAGATTATCATCAGAATGTATTGATGATTTATCTACAGTTGTATATGGTCAGAAGCGACCAGAATTAATATTAGGATTAATACAGAAAACAAAATTTTATCCGCATCTAATAGGTTGCAAGTGGCGTATTGATATTACTATTTCATCTAGGTATTATATGTTTCTAGTAAATTAGGAATTTTGTAACATTTCATACGTATAATACAAAAATGTTGTAAATGTTTTTAGCATATTGAACAGAGTCTTGGAACCACATATTATAATGGAATGGATATTTAATAATGGAAAGCATCAAATATTTGAATTGTCATTATCAAAATTTCACCAACTGAGACATGCTATAGCAACTATACTTGTTGATATGCAAAAGATTGAGAAACAATGTGCTTCAAAAAATATTCTGTGTAGTTGATGGTACAAAAATACCAATATACATTATATATGTTTTTCATTGTAACCTTGTGCAATATTGTATTACAAATAACAAATAAGATGTAAAATATTCTTTGTACAACATTACATGTAATAACATAAAGAATTAATAAAATCAACAGACTTTTCTACATTGCTTTATTTTAAAGACCAATACAAATTTAAATAAAACAGTTTACAAATTATATTGTGTTATATACTTTTAATTTCTATATTATTTTCACCTCTTTAAATTAAAAAGATATAGTTAATATCCTGATAGCACTAATAATTTTTATATATTATGTACGATAAGAATAATACATCGCTACCTCGCGATCTATGTAAATGATATGTACGTTGGTGTTTGTTACTGAATGGTATGTTGGGGTCTGTTGTAGAACAGACTTACTTCTAAGAGGAACTGAAGTTTTTCATCAAAATGTCATCATTACTGAAAAATTGTTGGAAGTTGTCACGAAATCTACCAGTCACAACATTAAAATGTAAATAAATTTCATTGATAATTCATTGATTTTATATGTTCTATATTATGTAATAAATTATAAACTAAATCGATAGGTTATCCAAAATTTCTTCCTTCGATAAGAACGAATACTACAGAAGCTGAAAAACCAGAAACACGACGTACGTAAACAATTCTTCTTTACAATATGTTGAATAACTTAATGTACTTAAGTATAAATATAGGAATTTTTATAATATACGTTTCATAACCTGCTTTTTATTTTTCATAATTCTTTTCTTAACATTTATATGTTATGCTTTTGTTAAATAGCGACCATACGTAGAATAACAACTGATATACAGACCATAAAGGATTTGGGTTTATACATTAGTGGATGTTTACCAAAGTACGTACAAAAAGTTCAAATAAATGCTGGCGACGAACTTGAAATATTAATTTGTCCTGATGGAGTTATACCAACGATAAATTTCTTGAAATATCATCAGAATACTCAGTATGTTTCATTATCAGATCTAACTGCAGTGGATATTCCTTCTAGGAAATATAGATTTGAGGTAAATTCTGAGTAATTTCTTGAAAATTAATATTTCAATACAATAACATATTTTATTATTCAATGTTCAATGTTTTAGGTTGTCTACAATCTTCTTTCTTTTGTTTTTAACTCACGCATTAGAGTGAAGACGTATACAGATGAATTGACACCTTTACAATCAATAGAAAGTATTCATGATGCTGCAAATTGGTATGAGCGAGAAGTATGGGATATGTATGGTATACTGTTTCGAGGTAATTCAGATCTTCGAAGAATTCTTACAGATTATGGTTTTGAAGGACATCCATTAAGAAAAGATTTTCCTCTTAGTGGGTTTGTTGAGGTAATATCATTACATAATTTTTTTTCACAATATCTTTGTTTCTTTAATTCATAATGTACAATATAAAAATTATTCTTCAAATGTAGGTACGCTACGACGACGAGTATAAAAGAGTTGTATGTGAACCATTAGAGTTAACACAAGAATTTCGTAAATTTGAATTGTCCGCTCCATGGGAACAATTCCCAAATTTTCGTCTTGCCGCACCTGAAGAAAGCAAAGAAAAAGATTCACCTAAAGAAAAAGATAAAAAGTAAATTACGCTTTTATTGTATATTATAAACATGTATTGAAATAGACATGTTTTAGTTTTTACATTAATTACAATAATTATTTATTTAATACTATCGTGCATCCCTTTCAATAAAATAGATACAAAATATAAGAACGAAAATTTTGTAATTTGCTTATTGACCCTAGTAGCATGAACAATTTATGTGAGATAGCTTTTTTTATATTGTTATTTATTTTACATACTATATGATATAAACGTAATTTGTTAATTACAAAGTGCTTATATCCTAATTTTAAGGCATATTTTTCGGTGAGTTGTAAATAAATCGAATCAATAACAGAATTGACTGATTCTATATTTAATATTTACGTATATGTAGTAGGAATTGGTGTATATTTATCCTTTCCTTAAGAGAAGTGTACAAGTACTCAACCTTTTCTTTTATATAATTATACATACACTAAGAATATTTTATACATACAATAAAAATATATACTAAATTATATTATTGCATCTTTCATTTCTTTTTTTTTTTTTTTTGTTCTGTTCTAGGTAATTTCGATAGCACCAGCAATTAGAACGTTTTTAAACTAAGTACTTAAATATACCCATATATTTTACTTTAGTACCAACGAGAACTTACTTTCAAATAGTCTTTTTTCCAAGTTTAAGGCAAGATACTTCCAATTTATGAGAAAAGAGAAACTTTGTTTTTTTAAAAAATATATCTTTTGAAAATTGTTTTCTTATCGATCCACTTGAGAATGTGTGTGTGGATGTGTATATATACTTCATCACAGTGCCAGTGGTATATACATACATAACATTCATTCTAAAATCACAGTATTTTATAAATTTTATATTTCATTATCATGTGTGTATGTGTTGCCGTGATACATGGTAGATGAAATTCTACAATGGCCATATAATTAAGCTCTTGTCCATCATGAAATAATTGCAACTAATATATGGATAGACTATAATTTTTCAATTGGACTCGCCTTTTCCGCGATTTCTTGCCGTTTTCTAATAAATGGAACGAAACCCCATAACGATGCACCTACGACTAAAATAATTCCTAAAATGCTGAAGATTGGCCCGTAACTGCCGATTTGTTCATATACAATACCGCAAATTGGCGGCCCAATCAACTGTATGATTCCATTTACGAACAACGAGATGCCATAGGAGGAAGTTAGCTTCTCGGTCCCTAACATATCGGCCATTATAACCGCGGTGATACCGACGTAAATACCAGAAGCTAAGCCAAAAACACCGCAATAAATCGACAGCATGGTGTATGTTGTTACTATGGGAAGAAGAGCCAACGAGATTCCAGAAATGAACAAACCGCCAACAAAATACCAATGCTTGGGCATGATTGAAACATCGGAGAGCGCCGAGCCCCCGATACGTCCTATCAAATCTAATACAGACACGGTCGATAGAAGAAGGGAAGACATGTTTTTGTCGAAACCCAACGAGATCGCGTATGCCGGTAATAAGATGACGAAATTCGTATAACTGACAGCATTTGTTGAATTTGAGATCAAGATTACCAAATAAATAGGATCGTTCAATAAACTGAAATCAAAGAATTTGTTACTCTTCTCTTTCGCTTCATTCTTGTTCGTTTCTTCGGCTCCCTTCCTCGCGAACGTGCTTGATATCGCGTTCAAAGTCAACGTGGACGCCCTTTCCGGATGCAGAGCGGAAAGTGTACTCCCATGATACGGCGTGCTGATATAATTGAAAGATGACATGCTCGGTGACTGCAAGGGTGATTTCTGACGTTTCGACAGCCTGCCAGAATCTCCGCCGCGTTCCGGAACAGCATGCAGTGCCGGCGTGCTGTGCATCTGTCCTGTTATCTCCCGTCCAGTGGGCATGCTAATTTTTCTCGATCGACCTTGAACTGGCGTATTCTTGTAATACTCTAACGCGACGCTGGACGCGCTCTTTGGTACCATTGGCGCAGTTTTTTCGTTTATGTTCGAAGAAGAAACAACGTGATTCGATTGCTTCTCATCTTCGGGACTAGTTACTGTGACCGAAGCGGCCTCCAAGTCGACGTCGTTCGATTTGCTCGACGACGATGCTGGCACCATGTGCTTTTCCACCGGTTCGTACAAAAGAGCACTCGCCCATACATTCAAAGTGACAGCACCCATTATTAATACTGCACCTCTGTAAAAAAGCAAAATAAGTTTTAGCGCTTTTTTGTTCGGCCCAACGACAAGATTAGCTATAGCTTACAATATCGTCATCGGGATATTCCACGGCTGTTGAGAAAACAGATATCAATCAATTTCATATCAAAATATCAATTTTTACCAAACATACTTTTCTTTTAACAACAATGCTTAATTTTAGTTCAGCTTGATTAAAATCTTCTCGAATATCTCGAATAAGTTATATCTTTGATTGACATATAATGATTATATAAACATGGAGTGAAGTAGAACATGTTTAAAAATATTTAATATTGTTCTTTGAGAAAAAATTAAAATATTTAAAAAAAAATTTTTTTAATATAGTGATTTATGATGCAATGAAATGAAAATAATTCGAAAGATCATAGATAGGAGCGTTTGTAAAAACGCTTTATTATTATATTTCTTGTATACTAGTTATTTTATTTTATTTCATATGTATAAAATATTTTTATATACTGCATAAATTATAAAGAGAAAATATAAAATATTAATATCAGGTACAGTTTGTTAATACTCTTAAGAAGTTCATTTGGCATAATCTTTGATAATCAATAGATATATAACATACTCTTCACTTTTACATTAATATAATCTTTTCAATACTGGATTGTACATGTCTCGCAAATTATTATCAAGTGTTACATATAAAGCCTTATGTATTCTAAAATACATAAGACTTAAACTAATCACAGCTTTTTTTAAATAATCTTGATGAAAAATTCATTAAATACTATGCAGATATCTCATAGTCTGCATCATAGGCAAGTTTTGTAGTTAAAGCAGACTATGATAGATAATTTGTACGTCAATCTGAAACTGTTATATTTATGAACTAAGATTATAAGGTAAATTAATAAAATACATTATTATTATATTATTAATTGAAAAATATCTTAGTAAAATAAATACAGAATTCAAAATATAGAACAAATAGAGAGCTTGGAAAAGTGTTTTTGAATATTTTGTACAACTGATATTCAGTGTTTTTGAAATAGAGAAAAAAGTCAAGAAATGTATACTATTCCTTTCCCGCTTTCAAAATAGATCAGGATGGAAACTATATATTTAGCATGCGTTTCAGATCGCGTACAATACATTCTACGGTACGAGAGAGAAGTTCATCTTCTTCAAAATCGCATTTTGTCCCTGTCTTCTTCCATGGAACACATTTCTCTGTAACAAAAGAAAAAATAAAAGAGACACTTAGTGAAAACGTTCCAGCTTACATTTATCAGTGTAATAATATATATACGTGTAGTATACATATATTATATAATATATGTAAAAATTATGTTTACGTTTTGAGACTCGTTACGCATAACGATATTCCACATTTGCATTCTGCAAAGATTAAAGTATTTATTTCGCGTCTTAGATTAACTTGACTAAAGCGTAAAATGTAAGTTTGCGTGTTGCCTTGTATCGCTGCAAAATAAAATTATGAGAAAATGAACAAGAAAAGATATTGGTAAAAAATTTAAAGAAAGACAGTCATTAAATATATAGATATTGGAACTAACTTACAGTTGATGTGGCAAGATTTATTAGTTAATTTATATTTTGTTACTATACTTAACTCTGCTACGTTCTTCGGATCATTTTCAATCTACTTCATATTATCGTTAATATTTTGATATTCATATTATTATTAATATTATTGCCAATATCATTCTTGTTAAATTTTTCTTAAAATATTCAATATCTTTTTGGTTCTTGAAATCTGAGATCAAAATGTAAATATTTGAAGATCGTAACAGAATTAGTATAGATCCAGAAAAAAAAATACTCTACTCACATGTTCACGTTCGATCAACGTATTATCAATATACATTATACATTCGAAAAAAAAATTTGCAACAACCAAATCAAAAAAAAAGTTGTTTCTAAACTGAAAATAGTACGTGGTAAAAAAAAAGAGGATAAGAAACAATATTTTAAACTATGAATGAACAAAATAAATCTTTTTACTATGACTATCACAATCACGAATAATGCACAATATATATAAAAATTAAAGTTATCTTCTATCTTAAAGTTATATTCTATTTTTGTCGTTGACATATACTAAATCGAAACACGTGAGTATCACGCGTCCGTCATGTATAATGCGCGCACTTAAAATGTACAAGTACTTTCAACGTCAAACAGTATATTTCCGTGACTTTCACACGGTCGTGATTATTATATATGCACATAAAACGAAGCGCACGCACGTGTAATTGTATTCTTTTCCTCCCTGTCTATTCTATAGTTGTATGCTTTCCTTTCTTCCTTTCGTTTCGTTTTTTTTTCTTCTAAACAAACTCTTAATCAAAGACGAAAAAGAAAATATATCATCTCTTTCATGCGCGCATGTATTTCGAAAAAAATGAATTATATACATTTTATATGTTAATGTTAAATGATAATATTTTAATTCTAATACTTAATTGCGATAAAGAGATTGCATCATTTCTATCGGCGGTTAAGTATCTAAAGCAAATGACAATTCAATAGATAAGATTTGTATCCAGGTTTTTAAATAATTGCCCAATCAAGGAAGTCGTCTTTATCATCGTCGAAAAAAGTTGTCATAATAGGTTGCACGATAGTGGCCCAAATCTTATTTTATCCTTTTTTATTGTAGTCTCGGTGCAGTTGAGTCTAATTTAAAATGAAGCGTTAAAATATATACTGGTAATTTGATTTAATACAAATGGTAAAAATAAATATGCGTAATAGACATTTACACCATTAAAATATGTAACAAAGGACATAAATATTATATATATAATATGTATATATATATGTATATGTATATACGGAATGTGTCATTCTTATCTAAATCATATCAGATGAATTATATGGGATTTTTCACATGCAGACTTCAGTATATAAATATAACACATTTTTGAATTTTTGAAATTAGAATAATATCAACTAATCATGAGTCTATCAATTTTTTTTAACATTACCGTACATACATATGTTGATGTCCGTTATTTTTAATGACAACAAATTTGATAAAAAAGCTGTAAATACTATTGATGTTGTAAATTTTATGGAGATATACAATAACATAGTGTATACAAATGCACGCGCGTAGTTGATCCAAGTATCTTCTAAAAAGGAACACTATACACATGCATGATCGATCATTGTCACATTTAATTAGTTGTAATAATGATGTATAAATACTCACCGAAAATAATCTTCACTAAATACATATGAACTTTCTAAGACAATAACACTTTATTTACGGATCTTCATGACAACAAGAAGATACACGTGATAATACACAAACGTCTCGTATTTTTTCTTTCTTTCTTAGTTTTCGTGACACTGATTATGTCACAAATTACATAAAAGTTGGACAAATCAAACTCATAAAACACAGATACATTCAATTTTGTCAAAAATAAAATAAACGTGTTAAAGCATGTTTTAATTAATTACATCGTTTAATCAATTAATTTCAAAGCATTTTTAAGAAATCATATTAATTACTATTTAACAGATTAAATGCTGTTAAATAAACATTTTATAGAATTAAAACAAAAAATCAATTTTTAATTTTCTTCGCACATTTATGATAGACTTTTGGTCTGTAATTTCTTAGTAAGAATAAAACAAATTTTTACAGAGATAATAAAGCCATACCTGTTCTTCTTTTATATATAATAAAAAAACGTACCTGTAACCATATTCTCGTAGAAGAATTCCTAGGATGGGTGGAAGAAATATTGAACCTAATGCACTACCAGATATGCAGAGACCATTTGCAAGTCCTCGTAACCGTACAAAGTATGAAGTTACTATATATACAGTTGGAGGAAAAGCTAATCCTGCTCCAGTTCCAACTAGGACACCATAACTAAAATATTGAACAAATAATAAGATTATATTTATAATTTTAACATATATTTATAGTATATTTTTAATTTAAAATGATACATATATTAATAATTACCTAACACACAAGAAGGCCACAGAGTTTGCAAAATAACTTAGCATCATTCCTGCAGCAGCAAATGTTCCTCCTAATAAAGTAACTGTTCTATAGGAATATTTAACTGATAGTATACTGGAAAGTGGTCCTACAATAAAAATTAATTTTCTTATTTTCAATTCCAAGCGCTTAACTATAAATAATAGTTTTATTTGAAAATAATAGCAATGAAGCTTACCAAGTGAGCTGTATAGAAAATAGCATAAAGCTGGTATCCAAGCAGCTGCAGCAGGTGATGCATCAAAAACTTCAAGAAACTCAACAAACAAAACACCAAAAGATTTTACTGTTCCTGGAATAAGTAGATTGACCATAACGGATGCTAAAAGTACAAGCCATCCCCATCCTCCATCTGGTGGTACTAAGTCTTCTTTGGCTGTTACATTTTTAACTAAAAAGAAAAATAATTATTAGTATTATCATTATATGAGTACTAAACTATTGTTTTATTTTATTTATATTTGTTATGTTTCAGTACATTTAGATTTAAAAAAATTTTTGTTTTATATAAAAATTATTATATGTAAAAGTTTTATATAAAATTAAACGTTAGAGTTTCTAGTTGTAGCATACTTGAAATAGTTTTAAATTAAAAAACATTCTATCATTATCTTAAGGAATTCTTTTTCTTTATTTGAAATGCAATGTACATTTTTTATTATTTTCTCATTTATTATTTATATAATTTTATTATTAAATATATATTCTATGCATTTATTATCAGAATTCATTGAGAAAATTCTGAATTTTCATCGTTACTGTGCATCATATATTTTTATATATATTATATATATTACACGCAATTAGCAAGCGACGATCAGTTCAAAAAAGAGAAAAAAAAAGAAAAAGGTGAAATAAAAATATAAATCGTTAATATAATGATTTACCTTCTTTATTGGTCCCGTTGAAGTTGTTTTTCTCGTTTTCAGAGTGCTGCGATACGAGTCTGTAGCTTCCTTTCTTGTTTTTACTGGCACCGAATTTGATGTTGATTCCATTGTCTTGATCTTGTACTCGTTGCATTGTCATCGACCTTTTCTTTTCCGTTCACACTAGCGCACGCGCGCATATACACATATACAATATATATCTGAATGTAATTATACAAAGGAAAAGCAAGGCTAATTTACTACTTCGCTGCGAAGAAAGAAAATCTAACGCCGTCCGTCGGCGCACGAACGCGTGAACTAAGCCCTTTAAAAGTAACACGGGAATTAATAGAAGAAACAAAAAGAAACGGACGACGGAAGAGTATAAGAAGAAACAAGGCTGATAATACACCGAATTACAACAGATACCGAATAGATATAATTGTGACCTACGAGTGCACTACTATCAATGTTCACAAACTGCAGGATCAGCAGTTGCGTCCTCTTCTTCGATCGCTTCGGACTTCATTAATTTCAATCTGATGTTGGTAGTCACGGTTAGACCGTAGCTTTTTGTATTTCTCTGATAAGGTGAATGGGTCATAGACCCCGAGGATCGGACAAATGATTTCCTTCGAAATTGTCGAAACGGGGAGTATCTGCTGTCCGATTGATCCGACGCCACCAACAGTAACCCGCAATATGATATTCCGTGTAATTTCACTGGGGTTACACCGCTCGTACCTTTTGCTTTCGTTACTCCTTCAAATTGCATAGAGCACGTAGACAATGGCATGTATACAGGATATTCTTACACACGAATCGCTGTCATTCTATGTAGAAACGCTTCGATTTTGTAGCCACGTATAAACACCGTATCACAATGACTTGCCCGTCGCGGAACGACTGAAACTGATCAGCTGTGTATCACGCAGGGCCGTTTACCACTACTTCATCCTGTCTCCCACCATGACCACGTCCTCCCGTTTCAGTCTTTCCTCTGTGAGTGTTCCTCTCCCACTCTCTTTAAGATATACATATACATATATAAATATATATATATATAGTAGTACCCTTGCTACTAGTCATTGTAGCTCCTACCATTTGGGGTTATGATAGTTTTTCGTTAAATGGCCATGAATAGAAACTTTATTTGGGAGAGTATAATTATATTGAGAGAATTGTATTCTATTTGTATTTACCTAGTATCTCTCTTCTATTGCGTGTGAATAGATTCAATTTCCCAATTTATGGTCAATTAGTATTATTGCATCTTCTTTCTCCTTTCTTCTAGACAGTCCTCTTGCTTCGTTATCCTCTATAGGTCAGGTCTGTGCATAAGAAAGAGGAATAGAGCACGTGCATTGTAAGGAATAAGGAAATGGAAAATTTGACATGGTATATATATATATGTAATAACAAAAAGCTCACAATAATGTAGGAAATATAGGTTTTTTTATGTCCTGAGTGATTTGAACGCAGCATGAATTTAATGCGTTTGTCATGCGTGGCCGCGTCCCACTTTGAGAATAGAGAAATCGAGGTAAGAAAAAATAAGTAGTATACAAGCACCGATAAGCCTCGTGCTCGATACTGAATGATTATGAAAAATTGTTTATGCCCTCACCTTTCAGCTTATCACGGCGAAGGTAAATTTCTATACGACTCATCGGTAAGTTTACTCATCTCTTCAGAAACCATTAACTGATAATCCTTTTAGTACGTGCAACGTATTAATTCACAAGACTTTCCTGCTTACATGGTATATATTTTGTAGACTCGTAATTTTGTATTAATACTGGAATACTGACCATTAAAAGAAATCAAGAGAAAGACATGAAAAAGTACACACTTTTATCCATATATTGTACAAAGAATTATAAAAAAATTGTTCCTCTATTACTTCCTCTAAACATAAAATTCTCTTGAGAAATTAAATGTTGGTCATTTTAGTAATTCTAATTTCTAAACTCTATCCATTTTAGTAATTCTAATTTCTAAACTCTATCCATTTTAGTAATTCTAATTTCTAAACTTTAAAAGCAACAACACATGCTAATGATAATGTTTGAATTTTTTAAATAAAATTCATTAGCAATAAAAATTCACAAATACTATATATAATAGCAAATAAATTTAAATAATACAAATTATAATAATTAAAAAGCACGTAGAATTTCATAATCATCATTCTCGAAAAATTTATACAAATAGTTTTCACATGACATTACTTGATTACGTAGAAAAGCAAAGTTCTATCATTTCAATCATATCGCAAATTGCTGGCATCATCTGTTCGTCAGAGAAGCCATTGTGCGTACATTTGATGATGACTATTCAAAGAATTGGAACGAAATATTTATTATATTATAGACAACTCAATTTTTTCTCACTAGGAACTTGTGCTATTCCTTGAAAAGTACAAAATACGTTTTATATTAATTTTAACTTTGTCATGCTACTGTTAATACTTTATGTATTGCAATTAATTAATTTATCTTTACTTTAAAAAAAAAAATAGAATAACACACATACATATATATAGTTGAATTAAATTATTATTTTATAGAGATAATTTTTACGAATAAATTACCTAGTTTGCGCGTACTTTTACATTTTTAATCAAAATGAACGCTCCATTTTTTTTAAGTACATAAAAAGCCACGTACTTCATTTTTATCACACATTTATATAGAACATAACGCATGATACTACATACAGCTATGTGCTGCTGATATACTCATCATACTATCATAACAGACTACCGAATTTATAAAATTTCGATAAGCGCGTTCGAATCATTTCCAATACTAGAAGATACGTATAGAATGTGTCATTATATAATTGCATTGTATAATTACACACTTTATAGTACACCTAAATAAGTATTTAAAAGCGAAACTAGTTTAAAAATATAGCAGGAAAATACGTATCAGACATGCATCTAAACTTACTGCGAATAAAAAAGCAACATCACGATCGACAAGATGTTAGTATCGAATGCAGCTATGAAAAGCCATAGACAATGTAAATTGCGAATTAACGAACTAATTGTTCTCCTTCGCGAATTAACTTGAAACGCACAATTGGCAGCAGTAACTACACATGACTCAGACTCTTATTAAGCATCAATTGGTGTTGTGATGACAGTTATTATAAGAGAGATGCATACAAGTCACCCATCTGAGACTCAGCTTGTCAAATTTATTTTAATCATTTCAAATCGAAGTTTCATTCTTGGAAATCGTTTGCCTGCAAATCGCTTGTCTATATAATTTCAGTACATGGATAAAAGCATAAGAATTTGAGTAAATATTTGATCATGTATCAAGACTAGGAGGAAACTAAAATACCTCCGTGTTATGATGTTCTTATTTTGCGTTTGATTATGTATAATATTTACGGAAATATTTTTTACAGAAATACCAAAAAATACACGCAACGAAGTATACTGAATCATCGAAAATTTTATTAATGAGTTAAATGAGTTTGCTCATTGGAAAAATATGATTCTACTTGAATATATCAGGAAATAAAGTTTTTAACATGATACTATATAGAAGTAGCAAATTTTTGTTTCATCAATATTTACAATAAAAGCTGAACATTAGATTGAAATTACTACAATGATTTATGTTGTTATGATCATTCAAAAAATATTTATTGATAAAATATATCTCTCACTTCACTGATTACTCAATTACATACACTATTACAACCTCATCGATGGTGTAATGAGTTCACGTAAACACAAGAATAAATAGAAATGTTCTTGTAAACAACTTAAATTGCCACTAAAATATTTCATTAACGATGTATATTCGTGTCAACAACGGTTATCACAACGGAACGCTACTTTATTTGTTCTAGTCAATAATGGCAGCGTTGTAAAAACGCAACTATTCCTTCAATTTTAAGAAATGATCATATCAAAGTAAAATAATAAATTTAATATGAAGCTTGATATTGATGAAATTGATATTTCATGAAATAGTGCAATGAAATCAAAAGTAATAATGGGCTAACTAATAATAGCATTGATGTATAAATAAACGCTTTAATCAAATTTTTTAGCTAAATATATTTATTTTCTTCTTTAAAAGAAAAAAGATAGCATACATCTATAAATGTTTCTACATACAATTTTATGTGTATTTTGTATACATTTTTCTTTATTCTAATCACAACTCATACTTTACAAGTATTCTTATATATGAAGAATTTAGTGGCTACTAATATTAAAAAACAGTGAATGAGAAATAACATATTGCGTCATACTATTTTCAACTATATTTGAAATCATTTTCAAAATTATGTTTCATTTGTGTTACTATTTTCATTGGTTTTCTGCTTTTGTTTTATACTGTAATCTGACAAAGCAGCCTTAATTGCATCTTCTGCGAGCACTACAATATATAAAAGATTAATGTTAAATAGTATAATTACTTCAATCAATATAATTATACTGAATACTCTAACTGTAAGTAACTAATTGTTAAATCTTTCTTTTAGGTGGATACTGCATTAAATTTGTTTTATTTTATAGAACTACTAAAATAATCCTTAATATGTTTTTACTCATATAGTTTAATTTTTGGGAAATATTAGAATATTAAATTTAATAACAAATATCACTTACTTGAACAGTGGAGCTTGACAGGTGGTAAACATAATTCTTTAGCAATGTCAGTATTTTTGAGAGCCAATGCTTCATCAACCTATAATAAAAATCAATTAATTATTTTTGCTTTACTAAATTTTTAAAAATTCAATAATAATACTTACAGTTTTTCCTTTAACCCATTCTGTAGCTAAGGAACTTGAAGCAATAGCAGAACCACAACCAAAAGTTTTAAACTTGGCATCAATAATCCTTCCTTGTTCGTCAACCTTAACTTGAAGTTTCATTACATCTCCACAGGCTGGAGCTCCTACAATACCTGTACCAACTTTAGGGTCATTTTTATCCAAGGAACCTACATTTCTTGGATTTTCATAGTGATCTATAACCTGCAAAATAATAAAAATATATAATTATGAATACAATAATTGAAATATTAACGTAAATATGATATACGTATATATTGTATATATTGAATATAATTGTACGCATAATTAATTAATTCTGACAAAAAGAGAACTGTCGGCAGAATTGCCGACAAAGTATAAAGATAACCTAAATACTATTGCAGAATTTATATAAAGTAACTTGACATATTTACAAAAATGTATTTTTTAAAATATGATTGCATCAAGCTTATAAACCCGAAGGTCGTACTTTCTACGTATATATTCTAATAATAGATACTATATTGATTGCTAGAAGTAACGCAATACATCCGTCAAAATTGTTTATGATCAAATATCCTCAAGTTAGGTAGATAAATACTTACATTTGGATGATAAGATACAGATGGAACACTCCGAGATATTAATTTCGTGGTTCTATTAAGTCCCGAAGGCAACGATCGTAACAAAGACATTGTGTTTATTTGTAAGTTAACATTGAACAAGAGAAACAGTCATCACTCGACACAACACCGCACTGAAATGATCGATCTCAATTTGAAGCCGCATGTTAGTCTAAAATGTTGGTAACTCTGTTTCAACCTGAGAATAAATAAGAACAAGAAACGGTACTATATTACATACTAATTAAGTTAAATCAACAATTCATAGTCGTTCAATTAATCTCGTGTTTTCAATTTTTCAGTTTTTAATTTTTTTATTTTTTTGCAGAGTTATTTGAAGAGTTTGATATAATACACTCAGAAAAAAAATAACACAATTTACTCAAAAATAACTTTTTAACATCAAATGACAAATTCATGTAGTTTTGATGTTTTTAGATGTAAACATTTTAATTAAAGAATTTCATAGGCACATTTAAAATTATGTTACAGCATAGATATGCAATTTCCTGACAAGATATCGAAGTTTAAAGTATATTCTTTTACATAAGATTATTGAATACTTTTAAATAATTCGATAATTTCTAGTATTATAAAAGTCGCTACAATTTAGTTACGTGTAAACACTATATTAAATCCTACATACATATATATATTTGAAATGTGATTACAGAAATGACATTTCAAACAAGAAATTACAAAACTCGAATGATGTAAGTATATTGGCAGATATTGAAAGAATAGCACATTTATGAAAAACAATTACATAATTGCGTTTGTAGTGTAAAATAATAAAACATCGTTTCGTAACGCATTTATCATTGTGGAAGAATTGAATTGTTCGATGCGTCCTGATAGTTTTAATGTCGGATGGACCCAAGAATGGACATCGTTGAAACGACTTCGAAAAAATAAATGCATCGATGTTCACGAGGTAGTGCGAGGGCCATTCTGCTCGCCAAGATTACTAAAAACACGACCATTTGTCGCGTTCTCGTCTTGTCAACGACAAGAGAAGAACTATTTCGATTTACCTCGAGGCATTCCCGACACTTGGAGAGAGTATTTAATTTCTAAAGGATTCTGTACTACCAGTGAAGCGTATGTATTGCAAAAAAATTTGATACCCTCTTGTATCAGATATTTCGCCACTGACAGGCTATGGAATGATACAAGTTTATCTTTTATACAAGGAATCCCCGATCCATGGAAAAGTAGGTCTTTTCATCGAAGACAGCCTGCTAAATGTTCTCGGCTGCGATTTCCTCGCGCCAAAAACGTTCGTTCCACGCGAGCTGCATACATATACGATGGAGATGATGAAGCAGAAATAGAATCCAGCGAGCGGTGTCAATTTAATAAAGATCGTATTGACGATAAAAAAGATCCTTCTCAAGAAGGACACGGAGCATCAAATTACTCGCTAATTGAAGAAATATTCAAAGATAATTTCGAAGCTAAGAAAACAGCAGAAAGATACAGCAGTCGGTTTCCTTTCGACAAAGAGTCGAAAATATCGAGCCGAAATAAGCGTAGAGCGAAACGCGACCAGTATACCGAGATTGATTTAGGAAAAATTACTCCGAATAAACATATCAAGAACGATCGACTGAAGGATGAAAAGCAACTTACGCCCAAAAAAGATAAGACAATTACTAAAAAAATTTCTAAAGATTTAAAAAATAAGACAATTACTATTAAAAAGGGGATTCAAACTGTGCCTATAAACGTAGCAGATGGAGCTACACAAACTGGCATACTTCTGAAAGATAAAACTGTTCAAGAAGGGTCATTTTCTAAAAAGCATGTAGAGATAAATACTAAACCGTACGCGGATGATGCTGTTTGCTGCAATTGCATACTGCGTGGTTACATACTTTCGAGTATGCATTGTTTTCCTAATTTTACGAATTTATGGAAAGACATGGATCTATCGAACCGCGTGTTGTGCCAGGAATGCGAAAATACTTATTGCAAACGCAAGTCGGAGAAATTAATTACTCCGACGAAGAAATTGGAATTTTGTACGCCAGATCCGAAGAAATGTAATCGAGTATACGCGATGCAAAATGAAATTTACAAACGGACGAAGCAGAAATTGCGCGTCTGCGTGCAGAAGGCAAGGAAACGGCTCGCAGCGCGAGATACACCAGACCGTTGCGTGCAAACAAAGGACGCGATTGTCTCTAAGCAAGAATTAAAACTGATGTGTTATCACTGTAATAGCCCTTATCTGAAAATCGCGAGCATCTCTGCAAATACTTCCGGTCGAAATACACGTTCGTGTATTTGCAGAACAGCCTTGAGTAAACTGAAGATCGTGCAACATAAGATCGGGGATCACGTTACGAAACGTTCAATCACAAAAAGGGGAAAAAACTGCAGTTACACGTGCAGTGAAAGCAAGAGGTATGTTTCTAAATGTGATTTTGACTGCACGTCACCATCGGTTATTAAATGGAGAAATAATGTGGCAGAAAAGAATTATTCTGGATTCTTGAAGGAAAGTGGTCATCACAATACAATGCACGGGAATGTTGTAACAGATGTAACAACCGACATCAAAGAAATGTTAAAAAACGCTACTGGTAATCAATTATTTACAGATGGTATAAAAAAAGAAAGATGTGAGAATGGACCGTCAGGAGATGACTCGTTCAACGTTGTAAATAAAAATAAAGAAATGGACAAACAAACTAATACCGTGATTAACGAGAACGAAGGAGAAATTGAAGCTGCACAATTTCAACTCTCGAAATCTGATAAAATCCTGTGGTACTCTGTATCAGATAGTGGAGAATATGCGGACTTATCCGATAACATTACAGATGTCGGTTTTAATGTCACGGCCCAAGATAGACTCTTAGTGACTTCAATAACTTCCACACAGCAGTTGGATAATGCTATTTCAACAAAAAGACACTATCAGAAAAAGAAATCGAGGAGACCCTGTCACGTACGGTGTAAATCATCGGGAGGAATTGCGTCAGATTTCAAGCAGAGTTTAGAATTTGGAAGTAATTTTCCAGTTACTTCGTATAACGACGTTCCGTGTTCCTCGACTGACAAAAATAGCAAAGTCCATGGAGAATTAATTGGTATAAGAAAAAAAAAAGAAATATTAAAATAAATGAATATAGTACAGTAAGTACAGAAAATTTATATGTACATAACACGAACAGTTGTTCACGGATTGAACACTCATAGAAATCTCTTATGAATTGTACCATGTTCTTTGTATCTAAACATTTTGAAATTTTATTTATATTTTCAGATTGGTTTCAAAGAGTATTATCAGAACAATTGTACAATCGACAGTGCAATCGCATCAACGTTAATGGAATATGAAGATGTTTTATACCACATACTTAATATATACATAAAAGTTTTCTATGATAAGTTTAGATACTTTCGTGTACCCTTGTATTTAATACCAATCAAAGCATAAAGTGTATAACGTGATTAAGATAAGAACTAATAACTGAGAAAGATGATTACAGAATTCGTTAACTATGAAGGAAATTTCACCGATGTTGCACATATTTGGTAAACAATAAAGAAATAGAACAAAACTTTTTCCTAACATTGACACTAGAGTATTCCTGGATTTTAATTTATTCATAAAATAAAGATTATTCACCGAAAGTTAGTTGTATAATTAATTAGTTATTAATTATAGAACTATGAAATTGTAAGTACATACGTAACAAAGGATTAAAACGAAATAATTTGAAGAGTTGTTTATGCATGAAATAAGTACACGTAAGATGATCAAATGGTTTGATCAGTGAGAATAGGAAACATTTGAGTGTACATATATCTTGATATCATTCAATGACATACTTGGAAAGTAAAGGATCGATATACGAGATAAGAAAACTATTCTAAAAAATGTCTGTTTTTATCTGATTATTCGCCAACGTGGAAAAGTTTGAGAATTATTTGAAAAATATTTCGTTTAGTAAAAATGATAATTCCTAGTTTAGTTAATTAGAAGTTTTCATGAATAAAAAATGTAACAGACTAGAAATAATGAAATGACGAAATTGAAAAGAAAAAGAATATTTTCACTAGGATCATTTATTGGAAGATTAATTAGATTAATAAGAAATACATTTTTATTATTATTTATTAATTTAGATGCATGATAAAAACTGATGTTTAAAAATTGAATTGCTTTTTAATGAAATTAAAATATTTTGATTGTTTTAAAAATATTATTATCTACTATTATCTACTAAATAAATTTTTTAAATACAGATAATATCAGAGTTATGTAATTGACACAAGTGTGTAGAAAGCATATATATATATGTTGTAATGTATATGTATATATATATATATATATATTACACTTTCAAAAAAGATAATAAAAAAATTATAATTAAAAAAAAAGAATATAAAGTAAATACGTACGTAATTTTCGTATGACGATAAAGCTTAAATACCTACTTAACTGGAAAATAAAAAACGCACAAAACATAACATGATGCAACTAAATCCCGCGATTATGTCTCTTAATTGACTGTCACCGCCATCTGTCAATTGGAGTAGGAATTATTTTATATTGTGTTCCTTTTATACATTACGGCTGTCATTACTTATTAGCGTTATGTTAAGAGTAAAAAAAAACACTTAATGTTATATGAGTGCACTTAAAATGCATTCTCACCAATATAAAAGTTATTTTCGTGCTGTGATGTCAATATTTAACGATATGGTTTAACGATATAGTTTCCTAGTCACATTTTTAGTTGTAAATAACCTTATCTTTATTAAATATTTTCTCGTAATATGGCCAAAACTAAAACAATCAGTAAAGGCTGCCCTAAATGTGAACAGCAGGTAATTTTATATGGCGATTAATTATTTTATATTTGTGTGAAAAGATCCATCACATATAAATATACATATTAAGTTTATTTTAAATATTTTTTTGTAGCTTTACTTATTAATTTGAATAAATCTTTTTTATATAAGCTGGGGAAGCTTCAGCAAAGAGAAAATAATATTATTTTGTGAATCATAAATTGTTCTATTATTATCAGTTAATTAGTAAAATTAAATGTAAGCTTTGAATAATTAACTCTTTACAAAAGTCTCTGTGCAAGAAAATATTAAATTTTCATTCTGAGTCCAAGCAGTTATATGTATAATTGATAATTTATTTATTTATTTTTTATATTATGTGTATTTATTAAGGTACCTGTAGCCTGCAAAGCATGTCCATGCGGACATTCATTTTTTAATGCAAGACGAAATTCAATAAAAAGCCCCCCTAGTCCTGACAATGGAGTGATGAAAACAAGACGAACCAATCGAATCAAACGTGAAAAACCAAATTATTATGATGCTTTAGAATACGATAAACAATCAAAAAAGAGTACCAAAGTAAAGTATTGTTTTATATTCCACTTGTATGTAAATGTGTATTTTAAAAATTATTAATGTGTACAAAATTTTTATTATCATAGATCAGAAAAGCAACAGATGCTGCTAATGATATAGACTGTAGACAGTTAAATAAGAAGAAAAAACGAAAAGGAAAAGGTAAAGGGAAAAGTGGAAGTAATAATGGAATAGGAGATGATGATGATGAAATGGAAGGAATCAATGGTTTATCACCTGAGAAACAACTCACGTGTTCTTTAATTTTACAAGAATTAAATAACAAAATGAGAGTTGTAGCCTGGAAGCCAACATAAGTTTACTCTATTGTCATATCTCAGACTATAAAAAATACTAGCGTTCATTTTTAATAGAACATAATCATTTTACATAACTATTGGACTGTGTTTGAAATGCTATCTATTCATTGCATTGGGGAAAATTAAAATAGTATTATATAACGTTATACATGAATTAATAGCATTAATTTATACAAATTATCTGTAATTTTTGTTAATAGATAAAATTTATATATATGATACTATAGTAGACTAATTTTCATTGAGAATTATATATAATTCGCAATAAAGAATTTATACTTTATTTTTTATGATAATTTTGAGACTTATAACTTTTTTGAGAATTAATTTATACTATATTATCTTCCAAAGTAGAAAAATTAAGACTACGTAAGTGAAAAGAATACAATTTTTATTAAAGATCATGGTGTTTAATTACATCTGTTTGTAAAAATATGTATTTCCTACTAAGATTGTTTCTTTCATCGCAGGACCTGCCGCAATTCTTCATTTTCTACAAACAATCATAATGTAACATGTAAATATAATGTACATAGTGTTTGTGTGTAATATATAAGGCAAATTACAACTGTAAACCAGTTTCTCTTTTTTTTTTTTTTTTTAAAGCAGTTCTTTACAT